TTGTCCACAGTACCCCGACAAAATGCTTCGCTCAAAGACGCTGAAATTTTACCTGTAGAGAGGCACCACCGAGATGCATCTATAAAAAAAATTTCGGACTTGTATCTAGTTCCAGTTCGGCGATAGGAACCGTTAAATTTGTTAAAAAAATTGATTTGACCGGGTTTTGTGACATCCACAGAACACCAAGGAATCGTCCGGTGGAGTTGAAATTTTTTTTATGTGCAGAACTAAATGATGTATGAAACTATAGAAAATTTCAGCTTAATCGGCTAAATCGTTCTTCAGATATGGAGTGCCGAAAATCGGTTTTCGTAAAAATTGAATGAAAGATCAAGGGTTCCATTTTTTCTTGAATGGGCTTTCACAGAAACTCATCAAACACTTGCCTCTATCATATAAGTTAAAATGAGCCGAATCCGAGGATATGGACTGAACACAATGGGTCATGGCTTACGTGGATTGGCTCATATATTAAAGCGAGTCAAATCCTGGGATATCGACTGAGCGGCCTCTATAGTAATCGGCCGTGGCTTACTTTGAATGCCTGTTATGTTAAAACATTTTGCAGTGCCTTTAAGTGCTTTAAAAGGACTTAAAGTAGTTCGAAGTGATTCAAAGTATTCAAAGTAGCTTAAAGTAGCTTAAAGTAGCGTAAAGTAGCGTAAAGTAGCGTAAAGTAGCTTAAAGTACTTTAAAGTAGTTTAAAGTAGCTTAAAGTACTTTAAAGTAGTTTAAAGTAGCTTAAAGTACTTTAAAGTAGCCAAAGTTACTTCAAGTACAAAAGTCCGCCGTTTCCCCCTTGCTAAAAGCACCGAAAATCTGCTGTCTCCGTTCGTTCTTCGATCAGAAACTTTTGCAAATACAGGAATATCTTGAGGAGACAATGACTGAGAATCAAACAGTTTTCACATCGAAATTAGTACTAATTTTTTAACTCTGGTCTAAAATACACAGAACATCTTGTTCCGTCCAAGCAAGTTTGATGCAAGAAAAGTCGAACTTCGAGGAAAACCAACATAGGTTGTCTTGAAATAGGAATGTTTTTAAAGACTTGTAAAAAAAAATCTGTTTCTCTTGGCTGTCTTTTTGGGGAAGACAAATATCAGCCAAATATGTGAATACTTTTGCTGCTGCAGGCGGCCATGCTGGCGCTGTTTGCTCAGAAGATACCTCTCTGAAAGAAAAACTAAGCTTTCAGAAAAGTCTTTACATTTCTACACTTAACTACGCCTTGCACGCACGCGGTAAATTTTCGCGAAGCGAATAAATTTTGCACATTTTGAAAAAGACCACTTTTTTCGCAGTTTTTTCAAGAAGAAATATAGCTTTGTATTTGATTTAGAAATGGTTATTAAAATGCTTCTGCCGCCAAAGGCGCCCACACTTTGAGTGTCTATTTGAAAACAAAGCTCTTTATAAATGGCTGTTTGCGCTATCCATACGGTATTAGCAAGTGAAACGCGGTGGAACCGCTTTTTAATGAAAAAGGAAAACTCTCCGTCAAGTATTTCGTGGCCTGTAACACTGTATTGATATCGTCACAGGCGTAATAGACATGCTGAAACAAATATCTGTCATATTTATGGAAAATGCGGGTGAATTCAACTTTCTGATTATGGGTGTGGGTGTGGGTGTGGGTGTGGGTGTGGTCGGGTGTGGGTATGGGTGTGGTTGTGGATGTGAGGTGTGGGTGTGGTTGTGGTTGTGGGTGTGGGTGTGGGTGTGGGTGGGGTGTGGGTGTGGGTGTGGGTGGGGTGTGGGTGGGGGTGGGGGTGGGGTGTGGGTGTGGGTATCTCTGTGTGTGTGGATATCTGTTTGAACCATACCCACACGCACACCCACCTACAGCCACAGCCACAGCCACAGCCACACCCAGTCACACCCAAACCCACACCCACGCCCACTCCCACAACCACAGCCACAGCCACACCCACAGTCACACCCACTCCCACACCCACACCCAGGCCCACACCCACACCCACCCACACCCAGATCCACAGCCACAGCCACACCCACCCACACCCACACCCACACCCTAGATCATGGTAGTTGTTCTCACTACTGTGAAATGATATTAACAGTATGTAACAAGATATTGTTAAGTAGTATTATTATTCATATCTTTGTGATTTTTAATCATATTGAGTTTAGACTTGCGTAGATCCTGATAGTCGAGGTGAAACTAGTTATGGTAGCTATACTCACCGTCACCCACATCTCTTAAGTTGAGAACTCACGAGGAAGCAACCCATTGAATCTTGTTGATTGACTCATTCCTGTGTTAATTAACTAAAGATAACATATATTCGACATATCCGTTTCAAGAGATGTGAAGAAAAAGAAACTATCTGATAATTTCCTTCATCAAGGTCGAAACACATCGTAGTGGTTGTCTGATGCCTTTTGAGATTTGTCTCTTGTACCTACATACTCATCCTCATTTTCTCGGAAGAGCATTGCCATCAGTCCAATTGGAAAATTACATCGATCTTGCTGGTTTTTGTCGTGTAAAACAGGAATTCGAATATGACTGGTTCCAACACGAGAAAAGGTGAGCTCGATATTTCCAGCTCACTTTTCTATATCTCCTATTCCTTATTATTTTCAAGTCTTGTTTACTAATTTGTCTCTTTTTTGCCAATAATACATTAACTTGTTTGAAAACTGTAGAAAGAAAAGGTCGAAGTAGATAGATTTGATTAAATTACAAATGTGAAGAAGTGGTTATTTTGAATTTTAGTTCGGATTTTTCAAAATATTGGCATGAACAAGAGATGACAACGATAGCATACAATATTTATTCATTTTTTCTGCATGTTAAAATAAAAAACACTATTTAAATATGAGACTTCATCCAAAAACCATTAGTGCAGTGTTGATTAGTAAGATTTAGACATGCTACAAGGTAATAAATATAAGCAGGTTCGTGATTAAAATAATTTTATAATTGCTACTAGTATTTTTGGATGGCATGATTTAGTCGGTTGTTCGGCTTGTTGGTAATCCATCGATAATTTTCTGTATACGTTGGATTTCTGGATGGTCATCTACCATATCTTTTTTTGTATATCCTAATGCTTTTTTATAGTACTTTCGAGCTCGTTGCAGATTACTTTGATTCATGTAAAGTTCACCAATGTCCTCAAAAACATCGCTGATCCCTTCAATTTTCTCGCCATTCGAAATCAACTGTTCAGATATTTCTAATGCTTTCAAGCGATGTTCATTACATTTTTCGTCTTGTTGTGGTTGTTGTTTTGAATAGATTAATGCTAATGTACTGTGTGTTTTTGCCTTCTGCAGACTTATCAATGGAAACACTTGCTCAATAATTTCAAGCGATCTAATTGCATATTCCAGAGCTTGATCATAGTTATTCAATTTTAATAAACATAATGCCATATTATTTAATAAATATCCAGCAATTTCATTGGTTAAATTTGGCAATTGTTTTTCATAGGATACCAAGGCTACTTCCGACAATGACAACGCTTGTTGGTATTGGAGTTTTCTATAATAGCAACAACCTAAGTTATAATAGCAGAGGCCTACAATTATTGTATCTTCATTTAACAGAAAATTCAACGATTTATTTAGTGCATTGATAGCTTGATCATATTGTCCTTGTTGCAATAATATGACACCATACGTTAAGTAACATTTGGCAATATTGCTTTTATTGTCTGTATAATCTTCTTCATAAATTTCTATTGCTTTTAATATATACTTCATCCCAGTAGCATACGCGCTTTTCCCCATATACGAACAACATACACCCATATTCACGCAACATAGGGCATAGTTTTGTTGATTAGTTGGCACATCTTTCTCGACAATTTCTATCGCTATTCGATAATTTTCCATAGCCTTTTCATATTGTTGTTGATTCGTGTAACAGAACCCAATATCCATATAACATTGCGCACAATTTTGTTGATTAGCTGGCAAACCTTCTTTGAAATCTTCTATTGCTATTCGATAATTTTCGACAGCTTTTTCATATTTTTGTTGATTCACGTACCACAACCCAATATTCATATAACAAGTGCCAAGATCTATGTCATTATCGAGTAACATATTATTGACTCTCTCTAAACTACTGAGAGCACGTTCATATTGCTCTTTGTCTATGCATTTACACATAAGGTAAAATAGATATGATGAAATCTTCGTTCTATGATAACATGTGACAGAACATTTCATGCAGGTTACATAAGTGTCGAAGTATTTCTGGTAAAATTCCGCACTTAAAACATATTCGGATTTTTCAAGATAATTGAATCCAATTATTCCGTAACACTCCGCCAGAGTACAACTTTTATCCAAGGGAAAGGTACATTGTATTCTTTTTATTGCAGCAATACAATATTCCGTTGATTTAAAAAAATCACCTTGCTTTTGATAAATTTTAGCAATATTAGACTGACATTGAACGAAAGATTCTTTAACGTTCAATTGATACTCTTCTTTATTCGACATATATTTTCCATATATCTCAGTTGCTTTCATGTAATTTTCTATTGCTGCATCCCACATGCCTTTTCTATCGTAAGCAACACCAATATTTTGATGAAAAAAGCCAACATTAACGCTATCCGCTGCTAAAAATTGTTCCCGAATTTCTAACGATCTCTCGGTAAATTGAAGAGTTTTATCAGAATCTCTATTTAAAAAAAACAAACCGCTATCAGAATAACAAACAGCTTCGTTTCCTTCTACTGTTAAATCCCATGTGACTTCGTCCATGCTTAATGCTTTCATTCCAAAATCAAATGCATCGTCATACCTATTCTGTTTTGCACAACTTGCAGCAATAAAAGAGCAACCTTCTCCATACCGCGGCTTAACACTATATCTACATTTCTCTCTATCCGACACATCTTTTCCAAAACTGGCCCTTAATGCATTACCAATAGCCACACCACCCTCGCCATACACCTGGTTGACAGAAAGATTAACAGTAGCAAGAGTTTCATTGACTTTCACTGCATCAGCGACTGCTTCAACTCCTATGCCAGATATCTCGTTGTATAGAAGATTAAGAGCAGTAAGAGTTCGATTGACTTTCAATGCATCAGCAAGTGCTACAGCTCCTTTCGCAGAAATTTGGTTGTCTTGAAGATTAAGAGTAACAAGAGTTTGATTCATTTTCAATGCATCAGCGAGTGCTCCAGCACCGTCCGCAGATATTTCATTCTTTTGCAGATCAAGAGTAGTAAGCGTTTCATTGACCCTCAATAGATCAGCAAGCGCTTTCGCTCCTGTGCCAGATATTTGGTTGCTTCGAAGACTAAGAGTAGTAAGATACTGATTGACCTTCAACGCATCACCGAGTGATCTTGCTCCTTTGTCAGATATTTGATTCCACCCGAGATCGAGAATAGTAAGATTTTGATTGACTTTCAACGCATCGGCGAGTGCTCCAGCTCCATTCGCAGATATTTGGTTGTTTTCAAGATTCAAAGTAGTAAGAGTATCATTCACTTTCAATGCATCAGCCAGCGCTTCAGATCCTTTGACAGATATTTGGTTTACACCAAGATCAAGAGTAGTAAGAGTTTGGTTGATCGTCAATGCATCAGCTAGTGCTTCCGCTTCTTTAGCAGACATCTGGTTCTTTTGAAGATTCAGAGTTGTAAGACTTCCATTGACCTTCAATGCATCAGCGAGTGTTTCAGCACCTTTCGCAGATATTGAATTCTTTTGAAGACAAAGAGTAGTGAGAGTTTCATTCACTTTCAAGGCATCAGCCATTGCTTCAGCACCTTTGACAGATATTTCGTTGTTTCCCAGATTCAGGGTACAAAGAGTTTCATTGAGTTTCAATGCTTCTGCGAGTGCTTCAGCTCCTTTGGCACATATTTTGTTTGAACCGAGATTCAGAGTAGTAACCGTTCGATTGACTTTCAATGCATCAGCGAGTACCTCAGCTCCTTTGTCAAATATTTGGTTGTTTTGAAGATTAAGAGTAGTAAGAGTTTGATTAACCCTCAATGCATCAGCGAGTGATAGTGCTCCTTTCTGAGATATCCGGTTGCATCGAATATCAAGAGTAGCGATAGTTTCATTGACTTTCAATGCATCAGCGAGTGCTTCAACTTCTTTGTCACCTATTCGGCTGAAGTAAAGATTAAGAGAACTAACAGCTAGATTGTATTTCAATACATTAGTGAGTGCTCCACCTCCTATATCAGATAGATGGTTCCATCTAAGATCAAGAGTAGTACGGGTTTGATTCACTTTGGATGCAAAAGCCAGTCCATCAGCTTCTTTATCAGATATTTGGTTCTTCTCAAGGTCAAGAGCACTAAGAGTTTGATTGATTATGAGTGCATCAGCGAGTGCGTCAGCTCCTTTGTCAGATATATGGTTTCCTTTAACATTAAGATTAGTAAGAGTTTGATTCACTTTCAATCCATCACCAAGTGCTTCCCCTCCTTTATCAGATATATGGTTCCAACTAAGATCAAGAGCAGTAAGAGTTTTATTGACTTTCAATGCGTCGGCGAGTGCTTCAGCTCCTTCGTCAGATATGTGGTTCATGCAAAGATCAAGACTAGTAACAGTTTGATTGACTTTCAATGCATCAGCGAGTGATACAGCTCCTTCATCAGATATATCATTGCATCTAAGATGAAGAGCAGCAGTCGTTTGATTGACTTTTAACGCATTAGCGAGTGATACAGCTCCTTTATCAGATATATGGTTGCATCTAAGGTCAAGAGTAGTGATAGTGTGATTGACTTTCAATGCATCAGCAAGTGCTTCAACTTCTTTCGCGGAAATTTCTTTCAAGTAAAGATTAAGAGCAGTAAGAGCTAGATTATATTTCAATACAAAAGCGAGTGCTTTGTCTCCTTCAGCAGATAGACGGTCCCATCTAAAATCAAGAGTAGTAGGATATTCACTCACTTTCAATACATGAGCGAGTTTTTCAACTCCTTCAGCAGATATTTGGTTGTTTTGAAGGTCAAGCGCACTAAGAGTTTCATTGACTCTCAGTACATCAGCGAGTGCATCAGCTCCTTTATCAGATATATGGTTGCAGCTAAGATCAAGAGTAGTAAGAGTTTGATTGACTTTCAATGCATAAGCGAGCTCTTGAGCTCCTTCATCAGATATTTGGTTGTTTCGAAGGTCAAGAGCACTAAGAGTTTCATTGACTCTCAGTGCATCGGCGAGTGCATCAGCTCCTTTATCAGATATAAGGTTGCAACTAAGATCAAGATTAGTTAGAGTTTGATTGACTTTCAATGCATAAGCGAGGTCTTGAGCTCCTTTATCAGATATTTGGTTGTTTTGAAGGTCAAAAGCAGTAAGAGTTTTATTGAATCCCAGTCCATCAGCGAGTGCATCAGCTCCTTTATCAGAGATATGGTTGCAACTAACATCAAGAGTAGTTATAGTTTGGTTGAATTTCAATGCGTCAGCGAGTGCTTGAGCTCCTTTCTCAGTTATTTTATTCGCCTCACGATAAAGAGTAGTACCAATCTGATTGACTTTCAAGGGATCAGCCAATCCTTCAGCTTCTTCGTCACATATTTGGTTCCAAGAAGGAGTAAGAGTACTAAGAGTTTCGTTGATATTCAATGCACCACCGAAAACTTGACCTCGTTTAACAGATATTTCGCATTTTTGAAGATCAAGACTAGTACGGGCTTCATCGGTTTTCAATACATTAGGGAGCGCTGCAGCTCCACTGCCACATATTTCGTTCATTTCAAGATCAAGAGTAGTGAGAGTTTGATTGACTCTCAATGCATAAGCGAGTGATTCAACTCCGTTGGTCGATATTCTGTTCCTTTTGAGATTAAGAGTGCTAAGAGTTTGATTGATTTTCAATGCATCACCAAGTGCATCAGAGCCTTTGTCAGATATTCGGTTGTTCTGTAGATTAAGAGTGGTAAGAGTTGCATTCACTTTCAATCCATCAGCGAGTGCTTCAGCTCCTTTATCAGATATATGGTTCCAACTGAGATCAATCGTAGTGAGTGTTTGATTGACTTTCAAGGCATCCGCGAGTGCATCAGTTGCTTTGTCAGTTATTTGGTTCATACCAAAATCAAGAGTAGTAAGAGTTTGATTGACTTTCAATGCATCGGCAAGTGCACAAGCTCCTTTTTCAGATATTTCGTTGAGATAAAGATTAAGAGTGGTAAGCGTTTGATTCAGTTTTAATACATCAGCGAGTGCTTCACCTCCTTTGTCACGTATTTGGTTGCGAGAAAGATTGAGCGTATTCAGAGTTTTATTGACTTGTAATGCATCGGCAAGTGCACAAGCCCCTTTTTCAGATATTTCGTTGAGATAAAGATTAAGAGTGGTAAGCGTTTGATTCAGTTTTAATACGTCAGCGAGTGCTTCACCTCCTTTGTCACGTATTTGGTTGCGAGAAAGATTGAGTGTATTCAGAGTTTTATTGACTTGTAATGCATCGGCAAGTGCACAAGCCCCTTTTTCAGATATTTCGTTTTGATAAAGATTCAGACTAGTAAGGGTTCGATTCAGTTTTAATACGTCAGCGAGTGCTTGAGCTCCTTTGTCCCGTATTTGGTTGCGAGAAATATTAAGTGTAGTAAGAGTTTGATTGAGTTTGAGTGCATCAGCAAGTGCACAAGCTCCTTTCTGAGATATTTGGCTACTACCAAGATCGAGAGAAATTAGAGTTTCGTTGATTTTCAACGCCTCAGCGAGTGCTTCAGCTCCCTTCTCAGATATTTGGTTCGAAGACACGTTAAGAGTTGTGAGTGTTACATTGACTTTCAATGCTTGTGCGAGTGCTTCAGCTCCTTTCTCAGATATTTCATTGACCGAGAGATCAAGAGTAGTTAGACTTTCATTACCTTCAAATGGATGAATGAGTCTTGCACGTGCGATGCGATATGTATCAATCCCACTAGGATCAAGGGTAGTAAGAGTTTCATCGAACGTCAAGGCATGACCGAGTTTTTGAGTCCGTATGTCAGATATTTCGTTCATTCCAAGATGAAGAGTAGTAAGAGTTTGATTGGCTCTGAGTGCATCAGCGAGTGCATCCGCTCCTTCGTCACATATTCGATTGTTAGAAAGATTAAGAGTAGTAAGGATTTGATTGGATTCCAACGCCTCAGCAAGTGCGCTAGCTCCTTTCGCAGATATTTCGTTGAGAGCAATATTAAGAGTAGTGAGGGCTCGATTGAGTTTCAATGCGTCCCCAAGCGCTTCTGCTCCTTGATCACATATTTGGTTCGGCGAAAGATTCAGGGTTGTAAGAGTTTGATTGACTTTCAATGCCTGAGCGAGGGCGTTAGCTCCTTGACCACATATTTTGTTGCCACCAAGATTAAGCGTGGCAAGTGTTTGATTGACTTTCAATCCATCGGCGAGTGCTGCAGCACCCTTATTAGCTATATGGTTCCATCTAAGAGCAAGAGTAGTAAGAGTGTGATTCACTTTCAACGCCTCAGCGAGCGCTTGAGCTCCTTTGCCACATATTCGGTTCCCTTCAAGGTCCAGAGTAGCAAGGGTTTGATTGACCGTCAATGCATGAGCGAGTGCTTCAGCTCCTTTAACACATATGTCGTTGGCTACAACGTGAATGGTAGTAAGCGTTTTATTCACTAACAATGCATCAGCGAGTGCTTCCGCTCCTTGGGCGCATATTTCATTGTCTTTAAGGTCAAGACTAATAAGAGTTTCATTCAGTTTCAAGGCACCCGCCAGTGTTTGCGCTCCTTTGCTAGATATTAGGTTGTTTTGTAGACGAAGAGTAGTTAGAGTTTTATTGACTTTCAATCCATTCGCCAGTGCTTCTAATCTTTTATCACCTATTCGGTTGTTTTCAAGGTGAAGTTCGGTAAGAGATTGATGGAATTTTAACGCATGAGCGAGTGCTTCAGCTCCTTTTTGAGATATTACGTTCCTGCTAAGATGAAGCGATGTGAGGGATTGATTGGCTTTCAATGCATTGCCCAGTGCATCAGCTTCCTCGTCAGATATTTTATCGAAGGAAGAATCAGGGCTAATAAGAGGTTCAGGGATTTTAGGAACAAATCCGTCCAAGGTTGCTTCTTCTCTGTAGTCAAAATGTGGGAAGGTTGGTGCAAACATCGTATTAACAAGAGTTCGATTGACTTTCAAGGCATTAGCGAGTGCTTCAACCCCTTTGTCTGATATTTGGTTGTTTTGAAGATTAAGTACAGTAAGAGTTTGATTGACTTTTATTGCATGAGCCAATGTTTGAGCTCCTTCGTCCGATATTTGATTGTTTTGGAGATTGAGAGTGGTGAGCGTTTGATTCGCTTCCAGTGCATCAGTGAGTGGTCTAGCTTCTTCGGCAGTTAGTTGGTGGTTTTGAAGATTCAGGGTAGTAAGAGTTTCATTCACTTTCAATGCATAACGTAGTGCATCAGCTTCTTTATCAGATATTTGGTTGTTCTCCAGGTCAAGAGCACTAAGAGTTTGATTGAATATCAGTGCATCAGCGAGTGCGTCAGCTCCTTCGTCAGATATCCGGTTTCCTTTAAGATGAAGAGCTGTAAGAGTTTGATTCATTTTCAATCCGTCAACGAGTGCTTCGCCTCCTTTATCAGATATATGGTTCCAACTAAGATCAAGAGCAGTAAGAGTTTTATTGACTTTCAATGCGTCAGCAAGTGCTTCAGCTCCTTCGTCAGATATTTCGTTCATGGAAAGATCAAGACTTATAACAGTTTGATTGACTTTCAAGGCATCAGCGAGTAATGCAGCTCCTTCATTAGATATATCGTTGCATCTAAGATCTAGACCAGCAATAGTTTGATTACCTTTTAACGCAACAGCGAGTGATACAGCTCCTTTATTAGATATATGGTTGCATCGAAGATCAAGAGTAGTAAGAGTTTGATTGAATTTCAATGCGTAAGCGAGTGGTTCAGCTTCTTTCGTGGACATTTCGTTGAAGTAAAGATTTAGAACAGTAAGAGCTAGATTAAATTTCAGTACATTAGCGAGCGCTTCGCCCCCTTTAGGAGATAGATGGTTCCATCTAAGATCAAGACTAGTAGGAGTTTGATTCACTTTCGATGCACAAGCGAGTTCTTCAGCTCCTTTATCAGATATTTTGTTGTTTCCAAGGCCAAGTGCACCAAGAGTTCGATTGACTCTCAGTACATCAGCGAGTGCGGCAGCTCCTCTATCAGATATACCGTTGTAACTAAGCTCAAGAGTAGTGAGAGTTTTATTGAGTTTCAATGCATAAGCGAGTTCTTTAGCTCCTTTGTCAGATATTTGATTGTTTTGAAGGTCAAGAGCAGTAATAGTTTGATTGACTCTCAGTGCATCAGCGAGTGCATGTGCTCCTTTGTCAGATATTTGATTGTTTTGAAGGTCAAGAGCAGTAATAGTTTGATTGACTATCAGTGCATCAGCGAGTGCATGTGCTCCTTTGTCAGACATTCCGGTCCCTGCAAGACCAACAGTCGTAAGAGTTCGGTTGAACTTGAATGCGTCAGCTATTGCTTCAGCTCCTTTCTCAGTTATTTTATTCGCCTTAAGAGAAAAAGTAGTAACAGTCTGATTGACTTTCAAGGCATCATCAAATCCTTCAGCTTCTTCCTCACATATTTGGTTCCAAGAAAGAATGAGAGTAGTAAGAGCTTCATTGTCCCCCAACGCACCGCCGAGTTCTTGACCTCGTTTCGCAGATGTTGCGCAGCTATGTACATCAAGAGTAGAAGGGGTTTCATGGATTTGAAATACATTAGGGAGCGCTTCAGCTCCTCTGTCGCATATTTCCTTCATTTCAACATCAAGAGTAGTAAGAGTTTGATTGACACTCAATGCATAAGCGAGTGCTTCAGCTCCGTTGGTCGATATTCTGTTCCTTTCGATAGTAAGAGTGCTAAGAGTTTGATTGATTTTCAACGCATCACCTAGTGCATCAGCTCCTTCGTCACATATTTGGTTGTTGTCTAGATTAAGAATGGTAAGAGTTTCATTCGCTTTCAATCCATTAGCGAGTGCTTCAGCTCCTTTATCAGATATATAGTTCGAACTAAGATCTATGGCAATAAGAGTTTGATTGATTTTCAAGGCGTCAGCGAGTGCAGAAGCTCCTTTGTCGGATATTTCATTGAGACAAAGATTAAGTGTAGTAAGGGTTCCATTCAGTTTTAATGCGTCAGCTAGTGCTTCAGCTCCTTTGTCACGTATTTGGTTGAAACAAAGATTGAGTGTAGTAAGAGTTCGGTTGATTGTCAATGTGTCCGCGAGTGCTTCAGATCCTTTGTCAGATATTTTGTTGGAGTCAAGATTAAGAGTAGTAACCGTTTGATTGACTTTCAAGGCATCAGCGAGTGCTTCAGCTCCTTTCTGAGATATTTCATTGAGGGAGAGATTAAGAGTAGTTACACTTTCATTACCTTCGAACGGATGATAGAGTCTTGCAGGTGCAGTGTGATATGTATCGATCCTATTAGGGTCAAGGGCAGCAAGTTTTTCATGGAAGGTCAAGGCATCAACGAGTGCTTGAGTTCGTGTGTCCGATATTGCGTTCATTCCAAGATGAAGAGTAGTTAGAGTGTTATTCGATCTTAATGCATCAGCAAGTGCATCAGCTGCTTTGTCTGTTATTTGGTTCGTTCCAAGATCAACAGTAGTAAGCGTGTGATTGGCCTTTAATGCAAGAGCAAGTGCACAGGCTCCTTTGTCAGATATTTGGTTGTTAGAAAGATTAAGAGTACTAAGGGTTTGATTGGCTTTCAATGCCTCAGCAAGTGCACTAGCTCCTTTCGCAGATATTTCGTTGAGACAAAGATTAAGAGTAGTGAGGGCTCGATTGAGTTTCAATGCGTCGCCGAGTGCTTGAGCTCCTTTATCACGTATTTGGTTGGGAGAAAGATTAAGAGTTCTAAGAGTTTGATTGGCTTTCAATGCCTGAGCGAGTGCGTTAGCTCCTTGGCCACATATTTTGTTGCCTCCAAGATTAAGAGTGGCAAGTGTTTGATTCATTTTCAATCCATCGGCGAGTGCTTCAGCCCCTTTATCAGGTATATGGTTCCATCTAAGAGCAAGAGTAGTAAGAGTTCGATTGAGTTTCAACACATCAGCGAGTGCTTTAGCGCCTTTGCCACATATTTGGTTGCCTTCAAGGTCAAGAGTAGTAAGAGTTTGATTGACCGTCAATGCATGAGCGAGTGATTTAGCTCCTTTAACACATATGTCGTTGCCTCCAACGCTAAGGGTAGTAAGAGTTTCATTGACTAATAATGCATCAGCGAGTGCTTCAGCTCCGTTGGCAGATATTTGGTTGAAGCAAAGGGTAAGAGTAGTCAGAGTTTTATTCAATTTCAATGCAAGAGCGAGTGCTTCCGCCCCTTGCGCACATATTTTATTGTTGTTAAGGTCAAGAGTAGTAAGAGTTTTATTCAGTTTCAAGGCATCAGCCAGTGTGCGAGCTCCTTTGCTCGATATTAGGTTGTTTTGAATGCGAAGAGTAGTTAGAGTTTTATTGAATTTCAATGCATTGCCCAATGCTTCTGATCCTTTATCACCTATTTCGTTGTTTTGAATGTGAAGATCTGTAACAGATCGATTGAATTTTAACATATAAGCGAGTGCTTCAGCTCCTTTTTGGGATATGAGGTTTGTGTCTAGATGAAGCGATGTGAGGGTTTGATTCACTTTCAATGCATCAACGAGTGCTTCAACGCCTTTGTCACGTATTTTGTTGTTTTGAAGGTCAATAGTAGTAAGAGTTCGATTCGCTTTCAATGCATGAGCGAGTGCTTCAGCTTCCTTGTCAGATATTTTATTGAAGGAAATATCAAGGGTAATTAGAGGTTCTGGGATTTTCGAAGCAAATCCTTTAAGCGTTGCTCCCTGCATGTGGTCAAAGTGTGGGAGGGTCGGGGCAAACATCACACAAACAAGAGTTCGATTGACTTTCAATGCGTTAGCGAGTGCTTTAACCCCTATGTCTGATATTTGGTTGTTTTGAAGATTAAGTACCGTAAGAGTTTGATTGACTTTTAGTGCATGAGCAAGTGCTTCAGCTCCTTCGTCAGATATTTGATTGTTTTGGAGATTTAGAGTGGCAAGCGTTTGATTCACTTCCAATGCGTCAGTGAGTGCTCTAGCTTCTTTGGCAGATATTTGGTTGTTTTGAAGATTGAGGGTAGTAAGAGTTTCATTTACTTTCAATGCATCAGCGAGTTTTTCAGCTGCTTTGCCTGATATTTGGCCCATACCAAGATCAAGAGTGGTAAGAGTTTGATTGATTTTCAATGCATCAGCGAGTGCTTCAGCGTGTGTGTTAGATATTGGATTGAGGAAAAGATTGAGAGCAGTAAGAGATTGATTGACTTTCAATGCGTGAGCCAGTGTTTCAGCTGCGTTCGTAGATATGGGGTTCCATCTAAGATTAAGAGTAGTAAGAGTTTTATTGAGTTGCAACGCATGAGCGAGTGCTTTAGCTCCTTTGTCAGATATTTCGGTCATGCTAAGATCAAGAGTAGTAAGAGGTTTATTGACTTCTAAGGCATCGGCGAGTGCTTTAGCGCCTTGGTCAGATATTCGGTTGGAAGAGAGATTAAGAGTAGTAAGAGTTTGATTGAGTTTCAATGCATCAGCTAAGGTGTGAACCCCTTCGTCAGATATTTGTGTCATAGGAAGATCGAGAGTGGTAAGAGTTTGATTGACTTTCAATGCCTGCGCGAGTGCTTCAACTCCTTTGTCATGTAACTGGTTTTTTTGAAGATTAAGAGTGGTAAGAGTTTTATTTAATTTCAGTGCGTCAGCGAACGCTTCAGCTTCTTTTGCAGTTATTTGGTTGTTTTGAAGATTAAGATTAATAAGTGTTTGATTGATTTTAAGTGCATCAGCGAGTGCTTCAGCTCCTTTCGCAGGTATTTGGTTCAGTGCAAGATCAAGGGTAGTAAGAGTTTGATTGACTTTCAATGCGTCAGCAAGTGCTTGAGCTCCGTTCGTAGAAATTTGGTTGTTTAGAAGATTAAGAGTAGTTAGAGTTGAATTGACTTTCAATGCATCAGCGAGTGCTTCAGCTCCGTTTGCAGATATTTGGTTGAGGCAAAGATTAAGATATGTAAGTGTTTGATTGAGTTTCAAGGCATCAGCGAGTGTTTTAGCGCCGTGGGTAGATATTTTGTTGTTTTGAATATTAAGAGTAGTTAGAGTTTGATTGACTCGCAATGCATCAGCGAGTGTTTCAGCTCCTTCGGCAGATATTTCGTTGTTTTGAAGATTAAGAGTAGTAAGTGTTTGGTTTACTTTCAATGCATTACCAAGTGCTTCGGCTGCTTTTGGAGATATATGGTTCCATCTAAGATCAAGAGTAGTAACAGTTTGATTGACTTTTAATGCATCAGCGATTGCTTGAGCTCCTTTATTAGATATTTGGATCATACCGAGATGTAAAGTAGTAAGAGTTTGATTGAATGTCAATGCATAAGCGAGTTCTTCGGCGCCTTTGTCAGATATTTGGTTGCAAGAAAGATTTAGAGTGGTAAGAGATGGATTCACTTTCAGTGCATTAGCGAGTGCTTCAGCTCCTTTGGTAGATATTTGGTTGAGGGAAAGATCAAGAATAGTAAGAGTTTTATTGACTCTCAATGCATCAGCGAGTTCTGTAGCTCCTTTATCAGATATTTGATTGGGAGAAAGATTAAGAGTTGTAAGAGTTTGGTTGACTTTCAATGCATCAGCGAGTACTTGAGCTTCTTTGGCTGATATTTGGTTGTTTTGAAGATGAAGAGTTGTAAGAGTTTGATTGGTCTTCAATGCATTAGCGAGAGCTTGCGCTGCATTGGCAGATGTTTTGTTGTTTTGAAGATCTAGAGTTGTAAGAGTTTCATTTACTCTTAATGCATCAGCGAGTGCTTCGGCTTGTTTGTCAGAAATTGGGCTGTTATGAAGATTAAGCGTAGTTAGTGTGTTATTCACGTTGAGTAAGTTGAAGAGTATTTCGGTGTCGATGATATCAATTGGACTTTGGTAGAGGTTGAGTTCTGTGATTGAGCCAGTGCAATCATATTGCTGTTGTACGATGTTATTTTTTGCAAGAAGTTTGATATATATATAGTTTTGAGCTGGTTGGTTGTGGAATTCAACCTTGTCGATTTGGAACTTGGTTCCAGCTGGAAGTAATACTTCTTCTTCATCCGGAAAGTATGAATATGAGGAGATATCTAAGCCGCTTAAAAATGAGATATCAATGATAAATAGTGTATTGCCGTAGAGTTGAGCCACGTGTCTATTTTTAGTTGTGGAGGTAAACCCAAACCAACATTTCTGTGCACCAATTGCTTTTGGATAATCGTGAATCATATGTGGTTGAAGATTTGCACCACGGTACACTTCGGCTGTGGTTCTGCTGTGTAATATATACCATGAATAGTACAAGAGGTAGCAGTAGGGTCCAAGAGTTTCTAGTTTGGTCGTATCATTTTCGCGCAGTGTGTGATTAACTGTTTGGTATAGAAAACAGGATTTTGTATATAGTTTGACGGAACATTTATGAATGTCCAGTTCATCGTCGTTTTTGACTGCTAACAATTCTCGTCCGATCCGTTGTGCTTCAAATGACTTATTTAGTTGATTTCCTTCTATGATTATTCCGTTAGCTGCTTGCTGCACTATATCGCGATAAGAGATATTGTTTGGTTGTGTTTTTTTCCAGTCGTGAATGAACCAATAACCCCCATGTGTGGACTCATTGAACGGTTTGCCGGACGGTAGTGGGAGAAAAAACCTTTCTTGTCTGAAATGCTGAGCTTCATTTTCATCAATTAGTGTCCGTTTTATTTGATTTTGTTGATTTTTATCGCATTTGTTGATTGCAATTGAATTATTTACATCTATCCAATAATCATCTAATTCAACGGATGTTTGTTCCTGATTTTCATTAAATGCTTCTTCAATAATTTCTGATTCAATATCGGAGTAGCTTGTCCATTTGTCTTCTGCATTTGTCGACGGTGCATTTGGACTGGATTTCCAGTACCATTGTGCTCGTTTTCGGTGAAATAATTTCGTTACTTGAGCTGCCATTGATGATTTTGCTGTCATTAAGTAATTCTTACTAGGACTATTTTAAGGACTAAAAGAAGATATTAGCTTTAGGTAGAATCTTGGCTAATTCAAGAAGCACTTCTAGAAGTTTCTAGGAACATTTCTCACTGCTTATGTTTTCTATTTTGTGCTCGAATTCTATCTAGACTGTACGTCGTTAGATGAATATTCAATTTTTTATAGTTTTATTTTACAAAAATAAAGAGTGTTTGAAATCTCCCCGGAAAACCTCACACTCTCTTGTATGTCAGTAGAAGGTGACATATAGGTAATTCTTTTCGTTAAAATAAGCAGAATTGCTTCTGTGAAAGGACATATTTAGCGGACTTCTATCTGAAACACTAGAAAAAAGCCTATTCGGTTTACCTAAAACTCGGAAAAACCACCCAGGTGAATGATGCCCGGCCATAAACGGCCGTGCACAGTCAAATACGCTGGAATACGGCAGCCGTGTGCGATAGCGGTTTACAACCATTGTGAACGATGCATTACGGTCTATTACGATCATCGTAAACGACTATCGTATACTCACAGCGTTTACAACTCCCGTAAAAATACGACGACTGTAAACGACTATCGAACGAAGTCGTAAGTTATCGTATACGTCAGTGATAAACGGTTCAATTAACGTTCATAGTTTTTTGACATATTTTGTCGTAAATGGCCGTTGTCACCGACGACCTACTCTTTTTAAATGTAGTAAGGCTTCCATCGATTCGACTTTAACAGACCTCAGTTTCCAAATCATGTTTTTCAAATATTTCGAAATTAGAAGAACGAGGTTATATTCAAGTGCGGATCGGATGCATTAGAAGATTTATCCAATGATTGCATACCTGAAAGACAGTATTGAATCCTGATTACTTTCCACACATGTATTTTATGCATTATTGCAGTTCAAATTTTCATATGCGTGCTCTTTCTCAAATGTCGAATGCTATTTTTTACTGCTGTCCTACTAGTTGCATTACTACTTCGACTAATTTAAGCGCGCTGATTACAAATATCAGAATTTTTTCAAAATTATTAAGATAGAAAAAAAAACGTTCGGAGACGTTTTTGAAAGTTCTGAAAATATATTTTTTGGAACCTACAGATCCCTTGAAACTC